TTTCTGCATCTCAGCCCTCTTCTTCTAATGGACTGGACTGTCTTCATTTCTCAAAAAGCGCTTCCCTTCCCTCCTTTAATGCCTCTAGTGAACCCTTCTAAATGCAGTTTCCCTGAGCTCTGAGCCTTAGCTTATTGGCTTAGTTATTTAACTCATGTCTCTAGCCTTGTCATGACTTAGTCTTACTAAGGTTGTGCTAAACAGAAATCTAAAGCTTTACGGATATTTGAATAAAGGGTAAACACATGCTGAGTTTTTCAAGGCACTACTTATTAATGTAATACTCGGGTGAACAGAGTTTTACAAGTGCATTCAAGCTTATGAAGATACGTTCCCAAGAAGACAAAACTACTATATAACATATGCAAGTAAACTGAGGCCCTTCTTAATCATAATGCAACATATCAGGCTTTAAGAAAATGAAAGAGAAGAAAGGGAGCTGAAAAGAAAGACCATGCCATGCTTTAGGTGGGACTCTACTTAGAAAACACGGACCAGAACCTAGAAATTAGCTTTAGTTTTTACGGCCAGAAATATTCCAGAAAGCATGTAAGAGCTGAGGATTCAAAGTCTAATTTTCTGGCTTCCAGTTATGGCTCCACAACTCAATAGATCCCAGTGCTTCTGTGTTTTTCTTTTGTAAATGGAGAAAATAGTGCAACCTGTCACTATCTGCTTTGGTCACCAATACCTCTAGAGACTAAATAGGATGAGGCACATAGTAAATATTCAATAAATATGACAAATGAGGTATTCCTCATTAGATAAAGTTAGGGTAGATTTTGTCAGTGCTAAGAACAACACCTGATTGACAAGAAACACTATACAATTTAGCTACTTACTATTGTTTTTATTAATGTTATTATTATCTTTCTTTATTAAGTTTAGGGAAATTGCCTTTGAAATCATCTATTCCTTTTCTTCTTATCAAAGCCTTGACAAGAAAAATGTTGATCTTCTGAGTTTATTTATCAGTGCAAAAATTAATTATTAGGGGTGTGAACTAATAGTAGATATTAAAGTGGTTTATGACCCTTCAAAGCTCACCTCTAAAAAAACCTTATCTCTTAATATTTATGTTCTTTCATTGGGTTTTCTTGTGTATCACAAGAAGATCATTGACACTAGGGGAGAACTTGATACAATTATACTTGTCCATTCTCCAGAGAGAATAATTGTGCTGTCACAAATTTGCCTGTCTTGCATACAACATCTTGTGTGTGGTGTATCTACCACAACTGTCAATTAAGGCTGAATTCACCAAAATACCTACTGGACCAAGAATTATTACTTCTCTTCAAGCCCATTCTCAATTGCTACCTTTGATCTACATCCTTTCTATAATTTTGCTTCTGCTCCTTCCCATCCTTTTTAATGACTGTCTTGCCTGGGCTGAATGTAGCTAAGTTAGACTTTGTCATTTTGTTTCTCCAGTGGGATATTGCTGCCATTCTTAAATTTTCATCATATTTATTTATACATTTGTTTTCTTTTTGTCCCCATTGATTGGGATGCAAAAAGCACAACTTTTGCTTTGTCTAAAAAAGGAAATGAATTCATCCCGGGGATGCAAGACTGGTTCAACATACACAAATCCATAAATGTAATCCATCACATAAACGGAACCAAAAACAAAAACCACATAATTATCTCAATAGATGCAGAGAAGGCCTTCGATAAAATTAAAAAGCCCTTCATGCTAAAAACTCTCAATAAACTAGGTATTGATGGAACGTATCATAAAATGATAAAAACTATATATGACAAACCTACGGCCAATATCATACTGAACAGGCAAAAGCTGGAAGAATTCCCTTTGAAATCAGGCACTAGACAAGGATGCCCTTTCTCACCACTCCTATTCAACACAGTATTGGAAGTTCTAGCCAGAGCAATCAGGCAAGGAAAAGAAATAAAGGGTATTCGATTAGGAAATGAGGAAGTCAAATTATCTCTATTTGCAGACGACATGATTGTATATCTAGAAGACCCCATCGTCTCAGCCCAAAATTTTCTCAAACTGATAAGCAATTTCAGCAAAGTCTCAGGATACAAAATCAATGTGCAAAAATCACAAGCATTCCTATATACCAATAACAGACAAACAGAGAGCCAAATCAAGAGCGAACTCCCATTTACAGTCGCTGCAAAGAGAATAAAATACCTAGGAATACAACTAACAAAGGATGTAAAGGACCTCTTCAAGGAGAACTACAAACCACTGCTCAGTGAAATAAGAGAGGACACAAACAGATGGAGAAACATTCCATGCCCATGGCTAGGAAGAATCAATATTGTGAAAATGGCCATACTGCCCAAAGTAATCTATTGATTCAGTGATACCCCCTTCAAGCTACCAATGACCTTCTTCACACAACTGGAAAAAAACACTTTAAATTTCACATGAAATCACAAAAGACCCCACATAGCCAAGATAATTGTAAGCAAAAAGAACAAAGCTGGAGGCATCACACTGCCAGATTTCAAACTATATTACAAGGCTACAGTAATCAAAACAGCATGGTACTGGTACCAAAACAAAGACATAGACCAATGGAACAGAACAGAGACCCCAGAAGAAACATCACACATCTACAACCATCTGATCTTTGACAAACCCAGAAAAAACGAGCAATGGGGAAAGTACTCCATGTTTAACAAATGGTGTTGGGAAAACTGGCTAGCAATGTGCAGAAGGCAGAAACTGGACCCCTACCTGTCACCTTACACTAAAATTAACTCCAGATGGATCAAAGATTTAAACATAGGCCCTAACACCATAAAAACACTAGAAGAAAACATAGGCAAAACCATCCAGGACATAGGTATAGGCAAGGACTTCATGACTAAAACACCAAAAGCAATGGCAATAAAAGCCAGGATTGACAAATGGGATCTAATTAAACTCCAGAGCTTCTGTACAGCAAAAGAAACCATCATTAGAGTGAATCAGCAACCAACAGAATGGGAAAAAATTTTTGCAATCTACCCATCAGACAAAGGGCTAATATCCAGAATCTACAAAGAACTAAAATAGGTATACAGGAAAAAAACAAACAACCCCATTCAAAAGTGGGAAAAGGATATAAACAGACACTTTTCAAAAGAGGACATATGTGAGGCCAACAAACATATGAAAAAATGCTCATCATCACTGGTCATTAGAGAAATGCAAATCGAAACCACACTGAGATATCATCTCACGCCAGTTAGAATGGTGATCATTAAAAAATCTGGAGACAACAGATGCTGGAGAGGATGTGGAGAAATAGGAACACTCTTACACAGTTGGTGGGAGTGTAAATTGGTTCAACCATTGTGGAAGACAGTGTGGCGATTTCTCAAGGATCTAGAAATAGAAATTCCATTTGACCCAGCAATCCCACTATTGGGTATATACCCAAAGAACTAGAAATCTTTCTACTATAAAGACACATGCACACGTATGTTCATTGCAGCCCTGTGTACAATAGCAAAGATCTGGAACCAACCCAAATGCCCATGAATGATAGACTGGACAAAGAATATGTGGTACATATACACCATGGAATACTATGCAGCCATAAAAAACGATGAGTTCGTGTCCTTTGTAGGGACTTGGATGAATCTGGAAACCATCATTCTCAGCAAACTGACCCAAGAACAGAAAGCCAAGCACCACATGTTCTCATTCATAGGTGAGTGTTGAACAAGGAGGACACATCAACTCAGGGAGAGGAGCATCACACACATGGGACAGTTGGGGGGGTAGGGGAGAGACAACGGGGGGTGGGGAGGGAGAAATGCCAGATATAGTATGCACCTAAAATAAAATAAATTTAAAAAGAAGGAAATGAGAAAGAAAGATACATGGTGTCTTACATGTTATGCAAAACAACTGTACTGTCCATTTATACTACTTATGTATCATTATTGATATTTAGAAAAAGATGAGAGTTTTTTTTAGAATCAATTAGGATTGGAATGTCTCAATGGAAATTTGAGACTTTAATGCCAGTAATATTTTTTTTAATCAATTGAGGTTTTCTCAATTGTGTGCTGTCATTGGGGATGATATTGTTCCTAAAGATGCAAAAATTAATTTTTGGGGTTGTGAAAAAGTCATAGATTTTACAATGGCTTATGATACTTCAAAGCTTATCTCTAGCAAATCATTATTCTTTCATATTTATTTTCTTTCATTTGGGTTTTCTTGTGTATTACACTAACAGCATTGACATTGAATTTACAGAAGATACACAAAATGAATACAAGATCAGAGCTACCAATGTATGTGGAACAGATGGCTGCCATTAGTGGACTTTCTCTCCATTGTTTTCCAATCCCAAAGTTATACCAGGATATGTGTCCTTTATTGGCATATGGGTTGCTATTGGCTGTTTTGCTGACGTGGCTTATGTTTGATACTCAGTGCTTCTGAATGTGTGATAGGCTTTGAGAATAAAATACAATTATTGAATTCTGCTAAAGTTATTCAATACATCAATACCATGTCAAGTACTGAAAAATGTTTATGCCTAGATGAATATCTAGCAGCCAGTCAAGTTTTAAATTATTTTCTGTAAAGAGCAAAATTAAAAGTTACAAACACTGTAAATAAGTACTGAGAAAATAATTTAAGTATAAATAAATTTTAGCAGTTTTGAAAGATTTTATTCTATTGGTATTATGTATCTTTATAGATTATAATTTTGTATGTATAACTTGTTCAATAATATTTTATATCAGTAAATTAATTCTTCTTAATATCACTCAGCAAATTGAATTTTATGGATTCAAGTTAAATGTCAGTAGCTTTAAACTTCAACTTTTAGCTTAAATTTTTTATTTGGTCATTCATAACTCTTCATTAAATAAACCATAATTTCCACTTTTCAAATGTATAAAGTACAGATATAAATGCAATATATAAATATATATACAGTATATATGTGCTATTATCATGAGGGAATCAATTAGGAAAATTTATCTAACAGAGCTCTGGAGGTAGGGAAAGGAAAGGCAATAATCAAAGAAAACATGGCTGAGAAATACTGGTATAAGCCCACATAGAGAGTGCATAAAGAAAGCGAATGAGAAAAGTGAAAGTTAAAGAGAAGGGTATTCAGACAATTGAAGCTAGTATGTGCCCTACTTAAGGCTATGCACAAAGTTGCTCTTCAGAGAACCTAGAGCCCAGGGTTCAGAGTCACCCATCTTAAGAAGCCCAGCAGCATCTGTAACATCTACGATGGCCTTGCCCTTTACTTTACTGATGGCCCTGGTGGTATGCAGCTGTTTTCTGGGCTGTGATCTGCCTCAGACCCACATCCTGGATAACAGGAGGACCATGGTCCTCCTGGCTCAAATGAGGAGAATCTCTCCTTTCTCCTGTCTGAAGGACAGACATGATTTTGAATTTCCCCAGGAGGAGTTTGATAACAAACCGTTCCAAAAGGCTCAGGCCAACTCCGTCCTCCATGAGATGATCCAGCAGATCTTCAACCTCTTTAGCACAAAGGACTTATCTGCTCCTTTGGATGAGACCCTGCTGCTTGGGATGAGACCCCCGCTGAACTCTAGTTATGAATGACTAAATAAAAAGTTTAATTTAGACGAATTCTACACTGAACTCTACCAGCAGCTGAATGATCTGGAAGCCTGTGTGATGCAGGAGGTGGAGACAGAAGAGACTTTCCTGATGAATGAGGACTCCATACTGACTGTAAGGAAATACTTCCAGAGAATCACTCTCTATCGGACAGAGAAGAAATACAGTACTTGTGCCTGGGAGGTTGTCAGAGCAGAAATCATGAAATCCTTCTCTTAACAAGAAGCTTGTAAGGAATATTAAGGAGGAAGAAAAGATTCTCATTTATGTTATAACAGAACACGAATTGAATCAAATATGTCAGATGTTTTCATGAGTATTAAACAACATCCTGTTCAGCTATACAGGTTCTAATGCCTTACAGATGACCATGCAGACATATCAATTTATTTAACTATTTATACAACTTAAATTATTCTTGCTCACATAGCATGTGCACCTTTATATTGTGAATTATATAAGAGAAACATGGTTTTCATATTTACTTAATTTATTTTACCTTGTTTAATAAATTTTTACTATAGAAAACTTCCTGTATTTGTTTATTCTTTAAAATGAAACCCTAAGCCTGATTATGCAAACTGATTAAAGTATCCTTAGCACAAGTCTTTTACTCATCACTATTATATTCAAGTTATAAGTAAAAATGGACTTTCTCTAAGCCAGGTTGTATGCTGCCCTCAGGATATCTAGGTGAACATAACAAATAAAGTTTTTACTTTCTGTGCCTTTGATTTTTGTAGAAAAATATCCCTACAAATAATAATTTTACTTAATATCAATTATGTTAAATAGTATAATGAAAAGAAGGATCGATGAATTTCTCTCAGCAGAAAGTAGTCTAAGATATGGAAGGAAATAAAAGCTAATGCAGAGTTATCCTTTATAAGTTAACAGGTAGACATCTATGTGCAAATGTGCACTGTCAATTGATTATATGAATTTGCAATTTACAAGAAATGCAATTGCTGGAGATTCATATGTGGTAACTGAAAACCCAGAAATGGAGGTGCTCATGTGAGGAGAAGCATATAAAGGGAGACAAGGACTTAACTTTTGTTCTGAGAACCTTCAACCCTTTAAGGAAGAGGAGAGAAGAGCTGCAATGAAAACAGAGGTGGAATGCCCATATGAGACAATGGCCGTGAGAGAGAAAAGGTGATGAAGCATATTTTAAAAAGTAAACATGCTTAGAATAGAAGTCACTGGATTCATAAAGGGTGTGGATTGAAACTGCCCACTACATTGGAAAAATAGATGGCACTGGGAATTGTAGTGACAGCTGTTTTGGCAGAAATAATCAGCAGAGACCATATTGGAGTAGGTGGGAGTGTCAACAAGAGAAGGTAGGGAGAGAAGAAGGAATTAGGATGAAATCTGGAAACAAAAATGGAGGCTATTTTTTCTGTGCATAGATTTTCCTTCTCTGAATTTTTTTTTTTCCTGGATAGATTTCATAGAATTGATCTAGTCACAAATGAAATGAATAGCTATATATATATTTATTGTGAATCATGATATTTAATAATTTATAATTATAATTGATCATTATTTTAATTAATACAACCTTGACTATCAAAGATACTTTGTTAATTTGTTGGGCTAGAATAGATAACTAATTCAATGCAAATATTAAATTCATATTGTTAATATAATGGTTACTGGAATTACTGACTTCATTAAGTTTCATCATTCATTTACCAGTTTTACTGCTGCTCTCTGGTAGGTGTAGATATGATAAGAATTCTTTTATATTGGTAATTGGTAATTTTACCAGATTTTATGAATATTGGAGTCTTATATTGATCCAAAATAACTGAATTATCATAAACATATTGATAAACTTCCTTCACAAAAGAAAGAAATTGCATCAAATAATCTCTTTCACAATACACGGTAAAGAAAAAAAATTGGGCAGAACTAGTTGAAAATACAACATGAACCATATAAATTCAGAAAGCAAAAAAAAGTTCTGTGTAATTCATGAGTAAAAGGAAATTTAACAATTTTCACAGAGATTCCAAATACAAAACTGACAAAATCACCTGTAATTTACATTAAAGAATTTGACATTAAAATTTTATTCTGCTTGGACATATGTGTAATGTTGATCAAGGCACCTAATCTCTTTGAGCCTTAGTTTTCTCATAAATAGAATCAGTTCAAAATATTTAGATACTTAAGAATATTAAAGGAACCCACGCAGTTTAAAGTACCTACCATAGTACCTCCCATTGAGTAAGGAGTTAAAATATGGTAGGTATTTCCCTATTTTCTTCACTCAGCTGTAGGTGAGAATATTATTTGTGTTTCTGTAAAATTCTTAGGAACTATGTCCTATTTTCAGTAGCTGACCTCCTGGCCTAAAAAACTAGATTTTGTCATCTGTAGAGAGGCTGAAAAATGGTCACTCCTCATTTCAAATAAATGTCCTATTGATATGCAGTGAGGGAATGGTGGCTCGTATCAATACTTGAGACAGGAGAACAAACGTGTAGATTGAAGTGTAGAAGACACATGACGTTTACTTGCTGATTCTCATACCTGACACATTCTCTCCCTGGCTCTTAGCATTCCAGGATTCACTCCCATATCACCAGCATTTCCTTCCTCTCTGGGGTTGATTCCCCATGGGACCCTGGTCATTTATTCCCTCATCTTCCTTCCCATTCAGACAGTTGCTTTCTGTTCTGTTGTGCTTTTGATCTCATAAATTCCCAAATGAGGAAAATGACACCAGTGCTAAGCAGAAATGAAATAAAATTTCTAGGTTTCAGAAAGATCAACAAGAGAGGTTTTCCTGAACATCCATTGACTATGATATGATACTAGCTTAGCGAAAAGGAAAGAGAAACAATAATCCAGTTTATGTTTGGGCTCCTGAAAACCTCTAAGGGGAAGACAGCCAAAGCTGACAAGGGCAGCCACCAAGACTGGAAGGCCAATATCTGATTTATGCTGAAAACCTGTCACTTCTAGGGATTTATCTTTATGTTGCAAAAAAGGCTATTTCTTGGCAAGAACAGATTCGAATGTTGTCATAAGCCTGTTTTCTTACCCTGTTAGTGTCCTTACAAAGACAGTCACTCTCCAGTTTCAGGCAGGGAAGGACTCCTTAGTATTGGCAGTTATAGAAACAGAGAGAGTTGTACCCCTGCCTAGAGCCTACTGTGCAAAGCAGTCTACCCTCCTTAGAATCGCCCCTTCCACATACTTTGGGACTCCAAGGGATAGGCAGAGCCGCCAATCTTGGCATGGAACTCAATGGTCATCTTAAAAAAAACCTCACGTAAATAGGGTGCATTAAACTCTCAACAGTACAATCTTAGTTTCACAGATTCATCCCTAATATCAGACTTCAAATATTAACATATAGAAGAATATTTCCAGTGTCACTTTGAATAATGATTTTGACATCTCTTTCACTTAATAGTAAAAGCACTGCCTAGGTAGCAAAGAAGAGAAGTTTCAGAACAGCTGAGGAAAGTGAAAGGATTGCATCATTTTACCTGAGCGCTAGAGTGACTTATTTATTCAAATATATCAAATTTGATATTATTTTAGAGGCATTCCTAAGTTAGGCACCATATTTTCATGAAGGTATTTCACCAGGAAGTGTAGGAATTGCTGAGGTAGAAGGGAGGGAAGGGCTGCAACTGCAGAGGGGACTCTTGAATCCTTTCCTTTGGCTGTACACTCAACATTTGGATTTGCTGCTTTCAAACTGGGGGTTGACCAGGGCCTTAGAAAAAGTTCAACACATTTTGCCCTTTGTAGTCTTATTCTGTCCTCCAGAGAGGAGGATGAAGAAATTTAGGAGGTGGACATGGCATAGCTTCCCAGCCTGTATATTTGAGGCTTCTCCAGAGAACAGAACAAAGAGGATGTAGAGAGAGAGATTTATTTTAAGAAACTGGCTCACATAATTGTGCGATCTTGGCAGATTCAAATCTGTAGGGTAGTCTGGCAGGCCGGAGATCCTGGACAAAGTGGCAATTGGAGTCCAAAGGTAGTCTGCTGGTAGAATGCCCTCTTCGGAAGAGGAGATATATCTTTCCCTATTAAGGCCCTCAACTGGTTGGAGGAAGTCTAACCACATTATGGAGGATAGTTTGCTTTACTCAAAGTCTACTAATTTCAGTGTTAATCTGATCTAAACCATACCTTTCCAGAAACACCTCGAAGAACGTTTGGCCAAACATCTGGGTACCCTGGCCTAGGCAAGTTGACACATAAAATTAACCATCACATTGCCCCCCTTCTAATTAATGTCCTAACACTTTTCAAATATTATTCCCCTTCCATTCTTTGATGGTGGTTTGTGTGTTTTATGTATTTCACATAATTTTCCTACATTTTTTGTTTCTAGGTAAGGAAATCCTAAGATCCGGCTCCATTCCATCAACTTACTAGGATAAGTCTCTGTAGCCATGTTCTGTTTAATAGGAAGAGGCTAGAAATATTTGTACATTAAAATAACCACCGTAATTTTTGTAGTTTAGCTATTTTTCATGAGCTTACAATTGTAATCCAGGCCACCTTTTCTTTATTTAAAAATCTAATCTTATTGTCAAGTCTCCATTCCATCAAGATTTTACTATTATCTATGGTATAGGACCAGATTTTACATTGATTTCTGCCTTTATTCCCAATTCATCATTTTAGAACCATTTATTAAAAACTGCTTTCTGCCATATTAACATCATATATGTGTGTGTGTGTGTGTGTGTGTGTGTGTGTGTATATATATATAATTCCAAATTCAATTACTGAGCACAGAGACTTCCTTCCTTCCTTCTTCCCTTTCCTTCCTTCCTTCCCTCCCTCCCTACTTCCTCCCTCTCTCCTTTCTTTCTTTCATAAACTTTTCTCCTTCTTTCATAAACATAGCCCTGCCTTTGTAATAGCATGAAGATTTCAAATATTATGACCTCTTTTATTCTTTTGTTGATTTTATTGTGTGTGTTTTTTTTCTATTATCTTTTCAGGGTGCAAAGTTTTTATGACTTGGTTCTGTACTGTCACCTTGTCCTAGAAATCTCTATAGCCATATCTTGTTTTATATCTTGGAGTTATTAGTTTGTTATATATTCTAGCATGTTGGGGAACTGAGCAGCAGATCTAGACTGACCTGTGCAGGAGTGTGGTAGGTGGTATGAGTGCTGCCTGCCCCGCCCACACCCCACTGTGGACTTGATTTTACTTCCACTGCCCTCAACCCAGCCAAGGCACATGTAGCAGATCTAGAAGGGGTGCGGAGAGTAGGGATCAGTGCCCTCATGCCTAGGGAGACACTGTGATGGATTACCATGCAGCAACAGCTGGAGACAGCAATTTTTTTCGAGC